GCTGTTTCTTTCAATCTTGATTTCCAATGTCTTTCTTTGTGATGTTCCTTTTTGCCTGCTGGAGGTACTGTAGGATAGAAACAAAAGTAGGGAATGTTGATCAATCAGGCCTTGGTTTTCATTGTATTTCTGGTGATGGTTATGACTTTGATATCAACGGCGTCTATTTTCATGTGCAAAGTAATGTGGCCCAAGCAAGTCTATGTTTTTTGCCTTTTTTTTTTTTTGGAGGAGCATTGATGAATAGGGGGAAAAAAAAGGCTGCAATTGTACTAAAACAATAAACCAGGTCCTCTAAAATTTAAAGACAAGAAAATAACTTTATGTTTTTTTAACATGTCCTATTCCCTGGTCTTTGTGGCCAAATTCGGATTTTTCTTTTTTTTTTTTGGGTTCTGTTCCCATTGTATGTACACTAGATGTGTCAAAATGGGTGATTTGGATAGATTGGACGAGTCATAAATTGGGTAATGAGTATAATTAGATCAACCCATTTATATTCATTTAAATAAATGGGTATAATTGGGTGTAGCCATAGATACCCATTTAATAAATATGCATGGGTATACCTAACTACTCATTTATGAGTCACTTAAAATTTTCCTTTTTTTTGCATGTTGTTTGACAAGAAATAACAGTATTTTATTTGGTACTAAACTAGTAAGAAATTCAAATTTATTTATTTAACACTCATTAAAAGTTGAGTTTAAATGTATGCTTATTTTTAAATAGGTATAAATAAGTGAGTCGAGTCAACTCACTACTCACTAATTAAATGAATTTAATTGGGTACCCATTTAGACAAACTCAAAATTAATGGGTAGATTTGAGTAAATCAATATAATTGGATTCTGATTGGCGCATCTAATGTGGACGGTGCCCAATATCATCCGTACTCATTTTTCTCAAGACAAGTGTGAGAAGATTAGTGTTGTATCCCATTCAAACAGAGATATATCCTCAGAACGGACCATATGACATTTCCACTTAAAAGAGAAAATTGGACATGAGATTTTGACGTGGTTTGAGCACACAAGAATCCAAATAAACCCCGACTTGCCAATTTTGAGTGAAAGTAGGCTATGCCATTATATATTTACTAAGAGTTATTGCAACTCTTGTCCACTTCATGATATTTTAATAATCCTTTTTTAACATCTTCTGAGTTGGGGAGGAAGAATTTGCATCTCAACATCTGGGAGAGAGAATTGGAGTTCTTGACCATTGGCGTCAAGAACTCGAAGAACCCTTGCCTCAGATGGACAACTTGGTGCTTCTCCTACTCAACTAGTGATATTATCCAAAATTTACGTGATCAACATCCAATCCAACATCATAATTAAGAAATCATGTTTGGATTGCGAATTTTCGCAAAAAAATTCTCTTGACGCATTTTCTAATCACTTTTTCATCTTATATAAATCACGTTGTTATAGTATATTTTTCTAAAAAAAACCTTACCATTCAAATGAAACCAAGTGCTCCATACCAATGCATCTACCGACCCAAACGCCTTGAGAATGGATTTTACTATTAACAAATACTAAACCTAGATCTTTCATTTCTTTACCCAGGTAGGGCAATATACTCTCTCCCCTAAACCACCCAATGCTTTTCTCTTCCGGGTGATATGGTCCTTGAATTCTCATATGGTGCGCATCGAAAATAAAAAATTCTCATACTTCATGGGCTCCAACACCTCCTTACTTCAGGGGCGAAGAAAGTCAACCGGGCTCCAACACCTCCTTACTTCATGGGCTTGAGTTTTTTTTTGAAAGTAATCCTGCTTTAATTCAGGGTTCAAAAATTATTCCAACGGGTTAAATCTTCCACAAATAGAGTTTTTGCTACTTGAAATATAAACTTCAAAGTTGTCACTTCAAGTAGCGAGTTTAAAAGTTGCTACTCTAAACCCTAATTAGCAACTACTCACATTATTTCCATATATTACACTTTCATACGTAAAATCTAAAAAAAAATTTGTATGTTGTATATATAAAAAAAAATGAGCTAATCTTATATACAGTATATACACTCTAATGATTAGATTGTTGAAATAAAAAATTATCATAAAAGTGGTGTTGTGGTGAGAGTGTGGATGATATAAGGGTCGTCACAGGTGAGAATATCAGCGCAACAAAAAATCCAACCCATTTTTCCTTTTTTTTCATGTTCTTAAGAATCGGTACAATTTTATATTTCAGTCGGATATCACCGTTGATTAACATATTTCAACATGATTTGGAGGAAAAAATTTCTCAATCCTATTGCCATAGACAAAATTTGCGGCGAAGGAATTTTTTTTTAATTAAAAATTTTAATTTTTTAATGTTGCATAGGACTAAATTTGTGGACCGTCAGTGAACAATTGCCATTTGCGGAATTCTTGAAACCGCAAATGACCTTTGCAGCGAAGGTGGTCATTTGCCGCAAATCAGGTCCTTTTTTTTTAATGAGAAAAGAAGAAACCAATTATGCTTTATGAAGATAGCGTCATCAAATATGAATGTTAATTCAATTCATGCATCTGACCTTTACAGGACATATTAAAAGGGTAAATTTGCAATAGAACACATGCAAAACCAAGCAAAATAAAAACATTTAAAAAATAATAAAAAATATAATTGATACATGGACATTTTTGAGGCTCCAGAAATTAGAGTTTTGACTACAAATTTCTTTCCACCCTCTTCATTTCTTAAGTCCCACTATTTTCCTATTGAAAAAAAGAATAAAAAACTCCTGTATTAGACCCCTTCGTTGATGATAACGAGGACCTAACGCCTGAGCAAGTGCAAGCACCATCTCGGAGGTCCGAATGACTACAATTGAGACGAGATCCACCACATGAAAAGATGTATTGGAAATATGGCTACTTTATCACTCCGCGCGATAAGGGCAAGAGGCGTGTTGGTGGGTGATATTTAGAGTTTATGAATTTTTCTTTTCAAATCTCCCGTTATTATCATTTAAGTTCATGTACTAATTATTGCACTCATTTATTGTTGAAATGATTGAATGCTACATTAATTATCATTAATTATATTAACATTAAAACTAAAATATTAAAAAAGGGATGACTTGGGCATATTTTATTTTCATTTAACAGCATGCATGATTAGCACAATTCTTATAGGTACATTAAATTTTAGATTTCATGGGTAGGATTTATATTACGTGTTAGGGTGTAGTGATTTCGAGTTTAGAGTTAAGTTTATGATTAGGATTAGAGTTAGGTTTTAGAAAAAAAAAATTAAACGAATCACCGCATATCAACTATGCCGCGATTCTTAATTGCATCAAAATGCTTCGCCGCTCATTTCACGAGCGGCAAAGGCTTTTCAAAAAAAAAAATTGCTCCTTAGCTTTGTAGAGGAAAAAAATGAAAAATTAAAACAATTTTTTAAAGAAGTCTCCATTGCTATTTGCGACGACCCTTAATTTAAAACAACCTTTCAACTTACACCACTTTTGTGAACTTTTTTTATTTTAACAATATTCCTAGAAATTCGCAGCAAAATTTGGATTTCAAATTCAATTTTAGATTATGTATCATACATCTAATAGTGCAACGTATAGACTGTCAGTGTATAAAAGATTAATTCAAAAAATATTATAAAAATTATTAATACTTTTGAATTAACAATATAAAACAAGTAATAAACTCTTAAAATATTACTTTTTAATTTTTCAAAAAGTATAAAAAATTTGAGTAAGAAAAACGACATACCTTTCAAGTTATAGACAAAATAGCAAACAATATACATTATAATTTCTATAAATTTATATATATGAATATACTGAGGTGATGAAGTTTTATTAAATTTAATGCTTATCATAATGATTAGAGTTAAAATTTGTATGAATGTAGAGTAATCTTTAAAATTTTTAGTATACAGAATTCTTGTACTAAATTTATTTTTTCTTAATTTAACTAATATCAAAATTTGAATCTCCTACCTTGAAGTGCATGGGTGAATGTGCCTAGCTTCTAAACATTCGGATTTAGGATTATGGAAAGAATATCAATCCCCCTTCATGGATTTAGGATTAACAAGTTAGATCAAATATTTAATCTAACTAGTATAATAGTTGAGAGGCACTTTTGGCATAAATAAATCTTGTCACACCTGAAATTATTTTTTTACTGTTGCTTTTTTGTATTAGACTAAATTGTTACAAAAATATTGGTTTCAAAGGAGGTTAGTGATATTTTTAGAATCTCAGGGAAGGACAGTGAAATAGTTTGAAACCGCAGGGGAGGTCTTTGAAATTATCCCATTAGAAAATGCAAAATAATGATTTGATAGTAAAACTAACTTGTATGTACATAACAATAACAAATTAGGACTAAAAAAAAACCATAATGGTGTTGCTAGCTTTAAGGGATAGTAACGTCTTTTTTGACCAATAAGACATTGACATGTGAGAGGGGTTATATTTTGCAAAGAAAAAGTGTTGCATTGTTTAGGATTCTAATCTAAATCTCTATGTTTACCTGCAGTAAAATATGGGTTGTTTTTGTATGCACATTATCTTTATTAAAATTAATATTTATTTTAAAATTTATCAAATGTGCTTGACTGTAGTCCCCTCGAGTACCTAAAATATATAGGTAACATTCGGATTCAGGATTTTGAAGAGAATTGAATATCGTTCTCACCATGCCTATACTAGTGATAAATGCACACCAGATTGGTGTGCAAATTACTGAGATTAGTTTATAACCAAAAAAAAAAAACTTACTACAATTTAGTGTAAGTGTAAACAAAGAACTATAACAAGAAATAAAATGTAGGAGTAGTTAATGGCATTTAAAAGTGATCAAAACTAGGTATTATGATATGAGTAACACCTATACATGTTAATTACCCTGAGGTTCTAAAACCCGTGAATCTTGGAATGGACATCTTTGGACGTAAAATCAAAAGACATTTTCTTTAACACCAAACTGGCTGCTCCAGCGTTTTGTTAATGCTACTAAAGTAAGCTGAGATACATCAGCAAAGAAGGGGAAAATTTATTTAATAGCTAGACTATTTGCCAATAGCGAATTTTATTCCTGTAGATGAACCCAAACACATTTTGGAAATCCAACACAGCACACCATGATACAACACTAACAGTTTCTGGAGAGAGGCAGTCCAATGTTATTCATTACAAACCAGGAAAGTGCAAATTCATATGCAAATGCTAATATGCGAAGGATGATAGTCTTCATTCTCCATTCAACCTCCTGCACAAACACCTGTAACACAAAGGTTACATGGTGATTTGCATTCTGTAACGTTTTTGCAAGGCTAGAAATAACACTCGGGGAGGTTGATTTACAAAATCTTTCTTGCGGTTGCACTGACCAACATGTCCATCTCAGCGGCTTCCATCTTTGACAAGGACAAAGCTGCATGCAAATTAATGACCACAATTTGTTAATACTACGATTTACTTGATCTGTGCTTTCTGATTAATCAGGAGAGAGCTAGCTAGCTAGCTGGAGGCTTTTTACCTATGGCCATGGCGAATACGAAAACTAGGAGAACGGATTTTGTTGAAGTGCTCTTCACCATGTTTTCTGCTTGCTTGCTTGATATCTGATGATCAGATAATCTCCTCCTCTCAAATGCTTTGTGGAATTCCTTTTGGTTCAACTAGAGTTTATATATATAGGCAAAAGAATGGCTGTACATATTTTAGCTTGTCCACAGCAACTGGTAACATCCGGTGACCAATTCTCTTCATGTGAGTTGCCATGAATTGTGTCGGCATTCCCTAATCTCATCTTTCGTTTTCATAGAATCAATCAACTAGAGGACATTACGCTCAGCGTGATAGTTTTTGCACTTTAAAATTAAGTGAACAATGCCAAATATGGATTGCCCATTTGCATTTGGGACCATACCTCTAAGTTTTGTGAGGGACAGACCAATAATTAACATGAGGACGATTTTGATGAAATCACCAGACTCTTCAGTTAAATTGGTCTGGCAAAGCCACCGGCATAAAATAATGGTTGCAAGCAATCAGTTTTATTCGAAAATAAAGTTCAGCCATACAATTAAGATTCAATTTTTCTACCAATAAGTAAGATTTTGGGGGTGAGAAGGGTGTGGGAAGGGGTGGGAGTTAAAAACAAAATGAGTAAGATTTTTTTAACCATATCATGCATATATACCACATTTACAAAATTCGATTTGCTTTTTTTTTTTTTATCTGAGCTTATCCAATAAGTTTTGTATAATTCATATCAGGGCTTAATATTGGGTGATTTTGAAACGTTTTATATCAATATGATCTTGCATGTTTTGTGGTGAAATCTATAGTGACAAGGTATGTGTGCATGGGAGTATTTCATGAGAGAATAATCTTATACGAGTAAAGTGAATATATATTCCTTAAAAATGGCTGAAAAAAACAAAATACGAAGCACTGGTTTGGTAATTTTTCAATAATTTTTTACTCGTAAGATCTTATGAATCACGTATACATTTTAGCTTGAACTTAATTTTTCAGTAATTCACTTCATGTAAGCTGTCTGAGCATCTCATTTTCAGTTCGTTTCTCATTTTCATGGAAACTAAAGCTGTCAGACAAATGGATTTTGTTGAAGTATTTTTCACCCGTGTTTTCTGATTGCTACCTGATGAAATAAATTCTGAGCTCATATTTGTTTGATTGGATTTACGTAGGCAGACAAATTGCTGTTGAAATTGCAATTTCTTGGTCAATTATGTATTGATTACTGATATAATATATCACCAGAAATTTGTGGCCATTGCATCACCACGTATGTGAGTTTATCTACTTAGAATACAAATATGCACTTGGTCTAATTTATATTACCACCACTTAATAGAATATGATTAAAAAACGTCTTCGCCTAAAAGGGGCATTTTTTAAAGCCCTGTGTGAAAAGCAATAATGATAAGGTTTTGCGGGATAGAGTAGATAATTGAGAGCCTGTTGATAATTGAGATTCTTTTCCCATTCATGGATAATTGAGTTAGAAAAAAATTTATCTATTTTAAAGACAAATATTGAAGTGGTAGAATTTTTAGCTAGGCGTTCATAACTGTGGAGGAAAAAAGGAAATTCAACAAGTGGGAGCTCGGCTAGGTAAACTATTACTCATTATCGATGTTGCCAGAGCCGTATATTTTTACTATTACAGTTCCCACTTTTCTTTTTTTTTACGGCAAAGGTAACATTTTATAATTTAATCTATTTTAATATATTCAAAACTTGATAGATTGCTTAATATACCCTTCTTCTTTGGCTAATTACTCAGAATATTAACAAAAAAAAATTTATCGGATATATATGGTTCTGACAGGGGTTGTGTCCATAAAATTTTTTTGAAATTTTTTTTTTTAAAATTTGTCAGCCCGGCAGTACCTACATAACTGGACAAAAAAAAAAAAAAAAAAAAGGCTGGCCTAGCTACATAATGTAAGCCAAAAAAAGGCTGCCTGTCTGATGGTAAAAGTTTCTAAGCCAAAATGGGAAGATCTGCTTAGGGAAATGCTTTGAAGTTATATATCTCTTCACTTACTATATAGTAATTAGAAAATAGAATTGATTTTATCGTTTTAATCACTATCACCATACAAAAACGTACGTATCTACCGTTTATGCGAACTCACCTTACTACTATTACCACAATCATTTCCCAAAATGTGCCATTAATTATTCCTCAGTTATTTGTTCACCATAAAACCAGTTCCACCCTTGTTAGCCAATCTAGTTTAATTTTTTTAAGATCATTTTTTTCCATAACTGCAAACTGTGTCAATCTTGATTTTGGAGTTTTAAGTATTGAATCCTAATTAATTACTTCCATTTACTATTGATTTGATTTATGCTATAAATTGCTTTTTGTTCCACTTTACAAATACTAATTGAAACTTGTTTCACGTTTGCTTAGTTTCAAATAATTTATAATTAATCCACGAATAACCACTACTACTGTCTATCTATTTCTTTGCTAAATATACATTTTGAGTCAAGTCAAATTCCCCCAAGAATGAAATAGAGATGGGAAAATGCCCTTGAACTTTTCAGCATAACATATTTAGTATCTGAATTATCAATTTTTAACCAATTTTATCTTCAAATGGGAAATTAATCAATTTAAACAAAAATTGGAGTTGGAAATAAAGGTATTTGAGTTGGAAAAGTGAACATATCCATTCAATTTTGCTGATTTTAAGTTGTGTAAACCTTTTTACTTAATGGGCAAATTTTCATTCAAATTGATTAATTATCCGTTTGAGGATGAAATTAGTCAAAAATTAATAATTCAGATACTAAATGTGTTGCATCAGAAATTTTGAGGATGAAATGTATCCATGGTCCAAAATTTAGGGACCAAAACTTGCATTTTCCCAAATAGAGACATAAAATACGAGTAATTATTCACCCAAAAAAAAAAGAAAAAAAATAGTAGCAATGTTATCGTACTACATTTTTACCACCTCTCGGCTTAAGTTGGTAAAAAGAACCTGTCAGCCCGGCAGCCAGTCAAATTTTAAAAGAAAAAAAAAATTTTGGTCGATTTTTAAAAAAAAAAAATTTGTGTTTTGCTGCCGGGCTGTGTCAGCCCGGTAGCAATAGTTGGGGACATACCCCTTATCAGAATCATACATGTCCGATAAATCTTTTTTTGGCCAATATTCTGAGTAATTAGCCTTCTTCTTTTAGATAGTGTTTGTTTGTCAGGAAAAAGGAAGGAAAGTGAAGGAAAATAACTTATCTATAAGTTTTGAATATTTGTTTGCTAGGAAATTTATGGGACCAATCACATAAAATTTTCCCATAAGCACTCATCTTCCTGTAAAATTTTGCTGCCGAAATTGATATGAAAGTGAGTCATGAGGAAGTTTCAACTAATTATATTTTTTTAACAACTTCTTCTTTCTAAACTATTTCTTCCATTCTAAACTTCTAAATAAATCAGAACATTTTAGAATTTACGATTCAAACAACCGGCTTATAATTATATATTTTGTGCTTATTTTAATAATTAATGAATTAGTAATTTATTGAATTTATATGACATTAGTATTTTTTCTTTTATATTTTATGCTCCTTTTTTATGTCTATATATATTTTTTAAATAACTTACACACACACACATATAAACTCATTGTTAAAGAATGTGATTAATTTCCAAGTAAACAACTCTTCCAATATGCAAAATGTTATAATTGTTACATGTTTTTTTTTACATATATTAAGTATCAAAACTGAAGAAGTTCAATATTGAATATACACTTGTCAATTTTTTCGTGACTTTCCAACTAAACAAATACAAAAATTTGTAGTTTCTTGTATCATTTTTTTGTTAACCAAACACATGTGAGAAAGTTTAGTTTTCATTTCCTTTATCTTACTTCACTTTTTCCATGACACACTTTCTTAAGTGACTTTCCTATCGAACAAACGGAGCGTTAGACTTCTACAACCTACTTCCCATTTTTTTCTCTTATCCACCCTTCCGTCTCTCTCTCATCACTTCCTCCAAACTACCACTAACCCATGACACTCATACAATATTTCGAAAAAATGATAACAAGTTGCATAAAATTTTGTCTCTTTTTGTTCCTCTAAGTAATTTGGTATTCTTAGTCTTACTGAAATTTATTTATTCATTATGTTATTCTACAATATGCACACGAATAGTGTAATATTCATTAATTTCCGGCCCCATGGGTTCACATACTAACTAACAAATAAATGTAATTATATGTGCTTTGAAAAAAGAAGTATCATGCTCCCATCCTACCAATGTTTTCTTTTCTCATTGTGTTAGAAGGAAACTCATTGCAAATGATTCAAAAGAAATGCCCATTGCTTCCTCTTAATTCTCCCACTCCGAATGCTGCCCATTCTATGTATGATGCCTCATCTTATCATAAATGCAACTAGAAAACAAGAAAAAGAAAATGGTCAAAGTACTGTAGGCAACCCCACATTATTTGGAACATGTGGCCAGTCTAATCCCTTGTCCGATTTTAGTCAAGGCTACTTTTAGGTTTTCTGTCAACTTCTGCCCGCTTGATGCACTTAAATTCCTTCTAATTTTAGCTAATGTTTTGGACTATAATCCCTTCGAGTACCTCAAATGTTGGGGTGAATGTCAAAACATTGGGATCTAGGACTGGGGAGAGCAAATCATTCTCAGTTTATGTATATTTATCAGCAGAGAAGGGAACCCCAATAGACATATATAGTTTAAGGAATGTAAATTTGATAGCTGGATTAATTTCCAGGAATAAATTGAGATGAATCCACGCACACATTTTGCAAATCCAACACGCAGCAGAACATCATGATACAACGCCAATAAATCCAAGAAAACATATCGTACACCCATAAGTCTACGAGAGGCAAACCTTTATGAATCATTACAAATTGGGAAAACACAAACCATGATTGTATCATACTCAAAAAAAAAAAAAAAAAAAAACTGTGTTAGTGGTCATACTGTCAAAATTCATTGTATCGTTGTATTAAATTTACATCTTTGATTGGAATTTGTTTTCCCTAGCGTGTATAATTTACCTTAAATAGATTAGGTTTTCTATCTTTATGGGTATTGTGTACCTATAAATAAAGGCTCTTTGCACTTGTATATATAGATACCAGTTTTATCATACACAGTCTCTTCCAAATTTCTGATGATCATTCTAATAGACTGACATGATTACTAAACAATCTACTTGGTTTGTACATTTGACACTCGAGACAGCTAGCTAGCTAATATCGGCTTCTAACCTCTATGACTAAGACGAATACAACAGCTAGGATAATGGATATTATTGAAGTACAATTCACCATTTTTTTTAAATTTCTGATTGGATAAACTCCTGTGGAGTGTTCTGCAATTCTATGTCTTTACTAACTTGATTTGTACAGGCTAAGGAGTTGAGTCGTGAGTTGGGTCTTTCGTGTAGGTTCTCCAGAATTTTGTCCACATTCTCTTATCTCATCTTTATTTTCATAGAATTGTTTGAAAGGACAGTGGATAATGTGACAATAATTGCACGTTATGAATTCAGTGGATAGCCATTTGCTTTTGGTACCATATATATATAGAATTGTTTCTCGCTCTTATATAGAATCATTTCTATATATATTGTTAGGATCCAAATACAGAACAAATAACTATTAAGATTTCAAGTACACAACTATTTAATAACAAATAAGCCACAAGCATGAAAGATAAACGACACACAATATTTAACATGATTCGGCTTTACCATTGAACCTACGTTCACGGAGAGAAACCCGTTCTTTATTATGAGAGGAAAACCCTATACAAGAATATAATTTGAACCCAAACCTAACCCTTATATACCATCTCTCATCTCCCAAGAATCCTCTCTCACCACCCATGTATAAGGTTACATATCACCTTTTGTGTGGCCTTGTGTGTCTCTTGTGTAGTATGTCAACCCACATATTTATAGGGAATATTATTTAGTCAAAACTCAAATAACAATAGGAAACCAATATTAATTCCTACACTACTTCAAAATAGGAAATAATTCCTATTTCTAAACTCATACAAATAGGAAATTACTTGACTACTACTTCAAGTAACTAAAACCAATTAGAAAACTAGTTACTTCTACACAAAACAAGAAACCTGACTAAAAGAAATTAAACCAATTTTCTAACATATATATATATATATATATATATATATATATATATATATATATATATATATATATAATTGTTTCTCACTCTTATATGGTATTCCTTGGTCAATATGTTATTCTGGTTATACCCAATTTGTTTGTAGATTTGTGTTAGGATTATACCATTAGAACAAATCTCTGAATTTGAAGGTTTCTATTTTATCCAGGTTTGTATGTTTAAATATTGAAAACATGTTGTCTTTTAAAACGGAGGATGTAGCCCCATTTATTTGTGCCACTATTCTTATCATTTCTCTTCTAAATGTAGGGTGTATCTATCACTGATTATGTGTGTGAGTGTGTGTAGACTCTCATCTCTAAAGAAATCTTATAAATCTATCATTTTTTATCCTTCCTGATTTTCTTTCTATTTTTTCCTTTCCGTTGTCAATATACTTATTGCCCTCCCCCTCTCACCTTCAATTAAGGTTTATTTGGGATTGCGTGCTTTTATTAAAAAAATGCTTTTCAAAAATAAAAGCACTTTTATTATATTTGGTGAGCATCATTTCTAGAATTTAAGAATACAGCTTTGGCCATTATAGCACTTTTGGATAAACTCAAAATTAGTACTTGTAGATTAATTTTTATCTTTCAAAAAATAAAAAATTAATTTTCACAATTTTTATGAATATGTTAGAGACTTAATAAAGGTAATTGTGAAATATTCTTGAACCAAATACGATATTTTTTTAAAAAAAATGTTGAAACCAATAGTGAAAGGGTCTGTAGGAAGTTTGACTAGTTTTTTAATCAGAGAATAATCTTATACAGTGAAACTGAATATGAATTGCTTAAAATGGCTGAAAGAATGCAATAAAAAGTACTTGTTTGGTACGTTTTCAATAATTTTTTTCTCATAAGCTGTATGTATTATGTAGACATTTTAGGGTTCAACTTAATTTTTCAGTAATTCTCTTCATACAAGAGTAGACTTTTGCCAATTCGATCTTAGTCAATTATTTATGGAGCCTTCATACATACATGGCTATTGTATCACCATTTATGCGGATTTATCCACTTGGAATCCAAGTGTTCACCTTCTCTAAATCATATTACGACTTAATAGAATGTAATTTTAAAACATTTTGATTAAAAAGGACTCTGAAAGGAAATACACACAGCATTAGAACTGTAGCTATGATGAGTGGTATTTATGGTCTAACAAGAAAAATTCAAGTGTTTGGGTAATTAAGACCCTGTAGTCATAGGTACTGGTACAACATCTCCTACTCATGAATTTACACCTGCTACATGCAAAATTATATATATATACACATGCATATTTATTGTACTTGTGTAGTTAAATAATTTTTTAAATTAATTTTACTTTTGTTAAAAAGATTAACACTTAGAGGACTTTGCTAACAATTTGAGAACTTTGTAAACGGACGGGCTCTTTGTTTGGATAGAGTATTATTCCAAATAATTATTTGAAATAATTACTATAACACTTTTTGTGATATGATGTATGTGAGATAAAACGATAATTAAAAATATAAAAAGGTGGATTGAAAAATGTGTTAATGATGCAAGCGAAAATTTTTTTTGAAAAAATTTGCTATCCAAACATATAATAAATATTTACTAACCTAATAAATATTCATTGATTTTCGCCTCCCATGAGTTCAACCGGTAATAATAACCTTCTATTAATTATAATTCGGATTATATGGACTCTGACACAAGAAATGTCGGATTATATGTGCTCTGACACAAAGTTTTCTTTTCTCAACCTGTTCGGAAGAAACTCATCGCAAATGATTCAAAAGAAATGCCATTTGCTTGTTCTAAACTCCTACCCAAATATACCCCTTCAAATTACTAGTGTATACTAGTGATAAATGCGCATCAAATTGGTGTGCAAATTACTGGGATAAATTTATGATTAAAAAAAAAAACTTGCAATGTGTTGGCATATTAAATCAAGGCTCGAAAATAGGAATTTCTATGTTATTCTTTAATAGTGTCTGAGGCAGGTTAGGGTTTTAGTAATTTTATTTTGATCAAGTTATGGTATTTTTATTATTTAAAATTAACATTTTATTAGAAAATTTTTTATAGTGTAAGACTTGCTTACTAAGTCACGTGATTAATGAATAGGGAGTCTTATTATTATATTAGCTGAAAAGAGTGGAACATTGAGTGCCTTATAACTATATGTGTAAATTACCTCCCTATATACATGAATTTTATGAAATATATCTCCTATATATTTTTTGTTAGAATTTTTGGATTCTACATCTAGTATTAGAACCCTAGATTCAAAAAATTGATCCTGGGGTGCTTATGAGCATTGAAAAATTGTCTCGACTATGAGATTAGTCCTAGGCATTTTCCACTATTAGAATTAGAACATAAGATTGCTGTGAATAAACAAGTTGATCAAGTTGGACCACAAGATTGGTCCGAAAAAATTGTTAGATTGATTGTGGTATTGCGATAAAGATCAGAGAAGAATCCTATCAATTGAATGATGGTTATAAAAATCACAAAGTGAGTTGTCAATGAATTAATATCAAATTGTGCGACAAAAACAATCAGTCCAAGTGTGTGGATTATTGTAAAGAGAAAAGTGTTTGAAGATAAAGAAAAATGATGTTGGTGGAATTTGCAAATTAGATTATTGTTTGTGATTGTGTTGGATCGGATTTGGAGACCTTTAATTTAAGGAAGGCAATGTTGGTATATTAAATCAAGGCACAAAAATAGAAATTTCTATGTTATTATTTAACAATGTTTGAGACAAGGTAGGGTTTTAGTAATTCTAATTAAGTCAAGTTATGGTTGTTTTATTATTTAGAAATTAGTATTTTATTAGAAAATTTTATGGTTGTAAGACTTGTTACTAAGTTATGTGGTTTATAAATAGAGCGTCCTATTATTGTATCAGTTGAGAAGAGTAAAGCATTGAGAACCGTGTAATTATGTGTAGTTAATGATATATTTTTTATTTATTCCTCTTCTTCCATACATGCTTGTATGTGTGTAAATTGCCTCCTCATATATATTGATTATATGAAATTTATCTCCTGTAGCTTATTGTTGTTAGTGCAATTTTTTGGGTTCTACACAATTTAGTGTAAACAAAGAAGTATAACAAGAAATAAAATGTAGGAGTAGCTAATGGCATTTAAAAGTGATCAAAACTAACTATTACGAGCAACACCCACGTTAATTACCCCCGAAGTTCTAACACCTGTTAATCTTGGAATCGACATCTCTGGACGTAAAAGCAAAAGACATTTTCTTTAACACCAGACTAGCTGCTCTAGCCTTATGTTAATACTAAGATAAGATAAGATACATAAGCAAAGAGGGGGGGAAAATTATTTAAGGAATGTAAATTTGATAGATAGACTATTTGTCAATAACGAATTTTATTCCTGTAGATGAATCCAAACACATTTTGCAAATCCAACACAGCACAGCATCACGACACAACACTAATAATTTCTGAAGAGAGGCAGGCCAATGTTATTCATTACAAATGGGAAAACAAAAAAAAAACATGGAAACCAGGAAAGTGCAAATTCATATGCAAATGTGAAATGGATGATATTCTTCATTCTCCATTCAACCTCCTGCACAAAGATCTAATGCACAACGGGTACATGGTGATTTGCAATCTGTAGCCGTTTTGCAAGGCCGGAGATAACAGCCAGGGAGGATGCCCTTTGTTGTGGTTGCACTGTCCAGCATATCAGTGTGAGCGGCTTCCATCTTTGAGAAGGAGAAAGCTGCACTCAAATTAATGACCACAATTTGTTAATACTACGATTTACTTTATCTGTGCATTCTGGGTAATCAGGAACAGAGCTGGCTAGCTAGAGAACTTCTCACCTATGGCCAAGGCGAATGCGAACACTAGGAGAATGGATTTTGTTGACGTGCTCTTCACCATGTTTTCTGCTTGCTTGTTATCTGATCAGATAATCTCCTCTCAAATGCTTTGCGGAATTCCTTGGTTCAACTAGAGTTCATATATAGGCAAAAGAATGGCTGTACATATTTCAGCATGTCCACAGCAACTGGTAACATCCGGTGACCAATTCTCTTTCATGTGAGCTGTCATGAATTATGTTGGCATTCCCTAATCTCATCTTTCATTTTCATAGAATCAATTAACTAAAGGACATTAGGCTCAGCTTGATAGTTTTTGCACTTTAAAATTAAGTGAACAATGCCAAATATGGATTGCCCATATGCATTTGGGACCATATCTGTATGTTTTATGAGGGACCAACCATTAACAAGAGGACGATTTTGGTGAAATCACCACTCTTCAATTAAATTGGTCTGGCAAAGCCACCGGCATAAAATAATGGTTGCAAGCAATCAGTTTTATTCGAAAGTAAACTGGAGCCATACAATTAAGATTGAACTTTTCTACTAATAAATAAGAGTTTTTAACCATATCATGTATACCAACTTTACAAAATTTGACTTGGTTTTTTCTTTTTTTTCAGAGCTTATCCGATAACTTTTGTATGATTGATATTAGGACTTAATAGTGGATGAATTTGAAACATTTTATATCATTGTGATCTTTTATGTTGTGTTGAAACCTATAGTGACTAGGTTTGTGCTTGGGAGTATTTCATGAGAGAATAATGTTATACTAGTAAAGTGAATATATATTCCTTTAAAATGGCTGAAAAAACAAAATACGAAGCACTGATTTGACAATTTTTCAATAATTTTTTCCTTATAAGATCTTATGAATTACGTTTACATTTTAGCTTGAACTTAATTTTTCAGTAATTTACTTCATGTAAGCTGTTGGGCATCTCTTTTTTAGCCCAATCTTTCATTTTCATGGAAACTAAAGCTGTCAGCAGAAAGTATTCTGTTTTAAGTACTTTCCACCATCTTTTTGATTGCCGCCTGATCAGATCAATTCTGAACTCACATTGATTAGATCGGATTTATATAGGCAGACAAATTGCTGTTGAAATTGCAATTTCTTGGTCAATTATGTATTCAATCCTGATACATAGATGACCAGAAATATATGGCCATTGTATGTAGTTCTATCTATTTCAAGTTGGAGTACGAATGTGCACCTGGTCTAATTCATATTGTGTCTTAATTGAATGTAATTTTAAAAATTTTTAATTTTTAGTAAGAATTCATTAGAATCATTTCTATGAAAGAAGTGGTCACTATAGAGTCTAGTTGATTTGAGGTACATTTTAATCCTTGAGAGAGCAAGCTAGCTAGAGGCTTCTTTTCAATGGCCAAGGCAAATACAACCACCAGGAGAATGGACTTTGTTCAAGTACTCTTCACCATGTTTTTTGCTTGTTATCTGATCAGACAATCTCCCATATTGCAACTTGTCCACAGGCACTGGTAATATGAGGTGGCCTATTCTCTTCATATGGGCTGCCATGATTCAATCATGAATTACGTTGGCATTCTTTAATCCCATCTTTCATTTTCATAGAATTAATCAACTAAAGGACATTAGACTCAACTCGATAACTTTTTCACTTTAAAAATTAAGTGAATAATGCCAAATCTGGATGGCCCATTTGATTTTGGACCAAATCTGTAAGTTTTAATATTATTAGGGACAAATAGCATGGGGACGAGTTTGGTGAAATCACCAAACTCCTCAATCGGATGTCTCTGGGAAAGCCACCTAACAATTGGTTCCTCAACCAACCGGTTTTTTTTCGAAATTTAAGTTGAGTAATTAGGAGTAAATTTTTTGACTATATATATATAAATATATTTGTGTGTGTGTGTAAGTTTTTTACATACTGTCAGTGTATAATTATTTTTTACACTAAAAAATTTAGATCATGTCATATAATATGGATTTAAATTTAAAGTTTAAATAATGCACATATGATATACATCCATAATTGTTAGTAAGCCCTAAGAGATGCGGATTTTATAGCTAGATTAATTGCCAATAACAAATTTTATTCATGGAAATGAATCCTAGCTAGTCCAAACCCACATTTTGCAAATCCAACATGTAGCAGAACATCATGATACAACGCCAATAGATCAAACAAAACAAAATGCGAAAAAAGTCTACGAGATGCAGATCATTACCATTCATTACAAACTGGGAAAATGCAAAATCCTAAATATTGAAACGGCAAATTCATATGAAAATGCAATGGATGACAATCTTCCTTCTCCATTCAAACAATACAGACACTATCCAGACAAGTCGCACATGGTGTGGCGCATCCTACTTTGGGTCCGCAACACTGGCCAACGCACGAGGGGACTTGCAAAACCTTCCTTAGGGTTGCAGTACTCTCTCTAGCATATCGGTCTGCATGGCTTCCATCATTGACAAGGGTTTATTTTACGTATTTTTAAGTGCATTTTATTAGTTGATTTTGGTTTAATTATTTAGTTTTATAACTAAAATAGCTAGGGTTTGGTAAAAATATACATTTTCGGTAAAAGTGGCTAATATTGCATTTCTATTGATTTTAGTGGTAAAAACTTCATTTTATGCAGGATTAAACGATTCAATCACCAAAGAATGTCAAGTGAGGTGAAAAATAGATAATTGGTGATGAATTCAAGTGGTTAAAAGAGAAACGAAGTGAAAAATGTTCAAGTGGTTTCGTTGCCCCTCTTTAGGGTATGGCGACCACGGTTCGAGTCCTGGGGTTACCGTGTTCGAGGGTAATGGGCCTCTGCCCTCGGGCCGCAGGGGATTAGTCGGGCCAAAGGCCCGGACACCCCTGTGTCGAAAAAAAAAAAAAAAAAAAAAAAAAAAAAAAGAGAAAATGCAAGTCAAGACAGTTTTGACACTCTTCGGTATTTCGACTATATCTGGAGCTACACTTATCGGATTGAGGTGATCTTTAAACCATTTTAAAGCTAAGAAAGAGACCTACAATTGGTATGAAGACATCAAAATCCAATTCTGCTGTTTTCATAGACAAAAAGTCGAAATACAGAAGCTGCATTCTGTGGTCGGAAATTGAAACAGGGGTTTGACCAGAGGATGGTATTTCGACCATATCTCAGCCTACAAAAGTCCAAATGGGATGATTCTTGATGCTATGGAAAGATAATTCAAAGAGGTACGACTTTCAAGACTAGCACAAGAGCAGATTCTGCCGTTTTCATGGAGAAATAATTCATGCAATCTGTCAAAAAAAATTCCAGCAGCAAATCCTGACTTTGACACATGTGCAACTTTTCTTGAAGACTTTTTGTGTATTTTAGTTGAATTTGCAGCTGCAATTTTGGAGATTCTTGACAATAATCAAGCATTGAGGTCATGGATGATAATTTAAGTTTTGTCTTAAACTCATCCAAACACCTATAAATTCCCCTCACAATTCAAGAACAAAGGGAGACCTTTGCCAACCTTTGTTAGTAGATAGAGCGCTTAGAATAGATTAGTTTTCAGATTCAATAAAGCTCTTTGAGCTAGTTTCGTTTTTAGCTCTGTTAGATATTAGTTTTCATATTTCTAAACACCTCGTTCTAGTTTTTATCTTTATAAATACACTTCTTGCTGGTTTGATTATCAAAGCTTGAGTGCTTAAAGAGTTGGAGAGTTTGTTTATTCTGTAATTGAATTAAGCTTTTATCTACCACCCTAATCGGATTGGTTTTAATTGCTTTGAGATGGTCGGTTTTGCATATGAGCTTTCTCTACCATTTTTCCTTCATTTCTAACTCTTCTTCTACTTTATTAGAAGTTGGAGTTATTTTGATAATCATGTCTAGCTAGCTAGATCTATCCCTTGTTTTAGGGGTAGATGAAACTGGTTGGTGCAAGATTTGGATTTGTATGCTGCTAGTTTTCACTAACCTTGTTCTTGGTAATTCATTAATCCTGATTTTCACATTTGTTAAAGCTTGATCATCTTTTGCAAATTATATCAGTTATTGTGATCGCACGACAGTGGTAAACAATAATGGAAAGAAGATTAATTGAATTCTAGCATGAAACACACGACAGTAGTGAATCACTAGAAGGGTTTTTCATAATATTTCACAAAGGCCTAAGATCATCACTGGTTGTTTTTCACCACGACAGTAGGTGGAACCTAGTGATCGTGACAAAGCTTTTCTGCACGACAGTGAGATAAGTATACATTTGGAAATGTTCCCTACCAAGACAAGAGTGAATTGTGACTACAAAGTACATGGCAAATCTGATCTTTACTAGCTAGTAGATTTAATTCCCCTAGAACATCTTTTCTTTTGACATATCTGTTAGTTGGGATTCATGCACTTAATCTGTTTTTAATTCTTTGATCAACACATAATTTGAAAAGTTTAGATAATAAGATAAGGTTTAAAACTCTGGTATTTGTTAAGTTGCTCCCTGTGGGATTCGACCCTTGTACCTTTGCTATACTATATTTCGATCTGTATACTTGCAGCAAAACGAGGTATTAGGTTATAACTTGTGAGTTGATTTAATTGGTAAATTTTAACCTCGTCAAGTTTTTGGCGCCGTTGCCGGGGAGCGGCAATATTAGGGCCTAATCATATCTATTAATTTAGATATTTTCATTGATTTTATTCAAGTTGTTGAATTAAATCTGCAAAAATTTCTCTTGTTTTTATTTGTAGTGTATGCACCGATCAAATCGAGAAATTGCACATTTCGATGCTGAAATTGAAAGAACATTACGGAGACAAAGGAGGAATACACTGCATCAAGAGGAACAAGAGATTTGGCGGCCAATAGAAGAAATCTTGATAGAATTACTAATTGAGGAAGAAATGGCGGAAAATGACCCAAATAGGCGAATTCTGCAAGATTTTGCGGTACCGGGAACACAAGGTTCTCAAACTAGGGTTGTAAGGCCAACGGTAAATGCTAATAACTTTGAGATAAAACCATCACTGATTCAAATGGTACAACAATCTCAATATGGAGGTAATGCTACCGAAGATCCAAATTCTCACTTGTCAACATTTCTTGAAATCTGTGATACAATTAAGTTTAATGGTGTTAGTGAAGATGCAAT